CTTTCTGCTTAAGTTTTATTTCCAATGAAAAGCCTACATGAAAAAAATTCACCCTCCCTTGTCTCTTCTTTCTAATTATGCTCTGATATAAAACTTCTATCACTAAGCGAATATTTTTCAATATAGTTCATTTCATTTGCAATAATGGTGTATCACAACTGCAACATTTATTTTACAAAGTTCATTATTCATTTCAATAATTAATTACATATTTATGTTCATATTAAGATGCTTTTAAAGAAAAGATTCATTCACTCGCAACTGAGATTATCATATATGTCGCAAATCTTATTTTTATTTTTTCAAGTTATACTGAATAAAATAACCTTTCGCAATCAAAAAAGAGTATTGGTGTGTTTGTCAAATGTGAGATACGTCGATGATGAGATAGGGCAAGTATTTGAAATGGGTGGAGTGGAGGAGAACGCACAGAATTGAGCATCCATTTAAATTAATAATGTTGTTTACCAAAAAGTTTTGTCTAGAAGTGAAACAGACAGTCATTTGGCTGAAACAGATTATCCTCTTCAACACACTAAAGGTAAACTGATTAATTACCACACAATTTCTTTTCTCCTTTTCCGTCCAATCTACTGTCCTTAACCGCCACTCTAACATGTACAAAGAAGATCGTCAAATTAATTCAAAAACAAGTGGAGAAACTTCGACTGATATTTCTTACTTAGCAACCATCTGTTCAATTACTTTACAACTTTGCATCTTATTTATTTCATATTACCTCTCAAAACATTCTATCCTAGTAGAAACAAAAGATCATCGGCGCTCTGGAACACAAACCACTCAATAATGAAATATGAGACAAAGATGTCAAAGCATATTACTCCTCATCAAAACTATCTATATCACCAATACAATGCAGACTTTGAGCTTAAGGTAAACTGAGATTAATAATGAAATATGTTCGATAGATTAATAAATCGAAATGAATGAAGCCTGCATTGTCAAAAATTTGCCTATAAAATCGAAATGAATGAAGTGGGATCAATTATTTCAATTCATCCCTGACAAATAGACATAAGCAGAAGAAATTACTCCATGTTCTTCCGTTACTCAGGCGTGATAGGGCGCCTTTGATCCTTTGATTTTGTCTAACGATAAAAATTCTATAGGCAAATTTTATTATGGAATCTATACTAATGTGTATAAAAATATGTAAGGAAAATTGATATCTAAATGAATTTGTAATGAAGATGACTACAAGTGATAACTTGCATCCATAAGCTTAAAAAAGAAGACTGCAGCAGAAAAGATAGGGAAGAAGAGAAATATAATCAAAGGGGAAATTCCAATATGTCGGAAGAGTAGTTCCAATGAACTCGGAATTCAGTACCTTCTTTAGTACTCACTTTAATTTTACTAAATCAATGATCAATATGCCAAGAATGAACTTTAAATAATGAAATCAGTCTCATTATTTACTGTAACCGAAAAAATCATTATACGTTTACATGATTATAAGTCCTTTAATATTTGATTATGAGCATTTTTCCGCTAAATCCGAAGAGGCGCAACATATAAAGAAGAGTAACTAGCATCTATTAAACGTTTCCACTAATATTCAGTTTGGCATGCGCATCTTTCATATTTACAGCTTGTACTTGAATCTAATAAACTCATACTATGATATTTTCCTACATTCGTGAATGGCCTAATTGGGCAATTTTATGTGTAACCTGTAACAAGCAGAAAAAGAAGTTCCGAAATACTTGTAATTAAATGGATTTGTTCTTCATCTCCAATTACGTATGTGAATAAGGTCATTGAATAAGGTCAAAAGCTTACATTAAAACAATAACTGAACAAGACGTTGCATTCTTTACGAATCACAACATTTAAAATTGAATGTTTGTTACGAATCGGATCTTTGCTTCAGTTATTATTGCATTTGTGTTCGATGTTCAAATGCTGTTTAAAGCTCTTACTTGATGTTAGATATTCAGGGTGATTTTTCCTAATTTTCTAAATTCTAATTTTTATAAAATGCTATACTGAAAGCGTGAATAAAGCGATGTATACGTAAATAAAGAATTCAGAGATCACTTTATGCAATGAGGTTTTGCAAATTTCATGAAAACGAAAAAATATGAGAAATTTTCACTTTTAATCAAGGAATCGATAGAAACATTCACTGAGGTGTGTAAATTAACGCTTAACATCAAAATGCTTGGATATCAAAATAGTAACCATTTGCAACTAATTAGTTGTATAATAGCCAACAAGTTTTAAGAAGTGTAAGTCTGCGATTAATGAGGATGATACTATTAGCTAATATTAACGAAGCGATATAAAGTAAACACTAATTAGTCAATTGTAAATCATTATTTCATTACTACTTTCTAAAATGAGCGGAATGTTAATTAATGACATTTCTAACTTGAAAAAGGGATGAAAATATTCAATCAACCATAAAATGCAGACCAGTCCGAAAATTTGGATGGATTCATCGCTATGAAAATAGTTTATGATATTTATAAAAGAATGCAAGGCAATTCATTCAAATTCCACCTATTTCTAACTTTTTATAGACCCAGTTTATATCACTTTTGTAAAGTAAGCAAACTTATAATTTCAGAATCTTCAGGTTATAGTGTACTCAAGGAAAGGGTAGAATCAATTTTTTTTTTGGAATAATGGCTTTTCTAAGTACTCTGCAAATCGTTGTAGGTATCAAAAATTATTTAGTACTTCATATTGCATTTAAATGTGAAATGAAATTAGCATTTTTACAACTTCATTTCTTATCAACAGTTTTATATAAAAAACCTCTTTTCTCACGACTCTTAATTTTTTATATTTGCATGAAATTTTTTTTTTTTCTCTAATGCTCGGGAGAAATAATATGCGTTCAGCTAAGGACTTAAGTACTTGAGCAAGTACTTAGGTCCTTAGTATATGTTTTGAAATCGTATTGTTGACCTCATTAACTATATATACATATATGTATACAGCAGTATAAAACTCTTTTAATGACAAGTTTGTAACGTTTCCTTTTTTCAGATTCATAACTTTTTTCATTTTAGATCCATCTTTAAGCACTTAAACATATCCAAACTGAAATTAAAACTTCCCCATTATAATAAGCCGTTTAAACTTGACATGTGGAGACAATGCATTTCCTCAAACTTTGAGCAAATTTTTAAGCATACTTTTAAACCACACTTGACTCTGACTTGCTAGCGCTTTCGGCTTTCATGAAAACATATTAACAATCAAAGACCGCTTTTTTAGTTTTTTAGCAGTTTATATCAATTTCCATACGTCTACTGTATATTCAATGCAGGTACATAACTTTTAAAAAAAGAATGTGCTAAAAATTTCTTTTTTAAATGAATTCACGTAATCCTAATAAATTTGGAAGCAAATCCATAGAAGGAACTAATCATAAAATGAAACCGCTACAGCACAAAAGATCATTCATACGTTTGAGGACAGTATGATAATATTACTCAACTTAATGAGAGATCAGGAAGGCTTTGATTGTCTGACGAAATATTGATTTGATGTAGGAATACATCCATTATAAATTGTAAAATCTTCCTCGTTTCAACTACTACACGATTTTTTATATCATTTGCAAATTTATAGCTCTTATATTAACACTACATTCAAAACAAATCCATCTCTGATTAACTGCATCCTAATTTAACTTTAATTCTTCCAGTGAAACTTACTGTTAAATAATAATACAGTGATATTTCACGATGATATAGCGGCAGCAAATTTTACCTATAGTGTAAACCAACCACATCTAAACTACTTAATTTAATGGAACTTTTTCTTGCAAAAACTGTTTTTTTAACAGTGAACTGACAAACAGTAACCTTTTTCCGTGAAAAAACATTGGTAGTGATGCCATGTACAGTACGAATATTGTAATTATATATTTAATCAGCAATAAATTTTATATTCCACATAACCCCTGCAGTAAAAAATTAATTTAAACTAAAGATCAAACAATGATCTGATCTGAGACTATAAAACCCGACTATCTATCATTATTTTAAATTCGTCTAATCAAAAGAAAAGCCATCTCATGAAAATCGATAAACAGAATGCAAAAATCCTGACTAGTTTGCATCAGTAGAGCGAAGCAAAAATTACATCTCCATTAACTAATTTATCCTCTCCTCATATTGGTGATCGCTCTTTATACCGTCGGTATACAGTTTTACAACACATTATTTCGATGACAAATAAAGCCAAAACCACACATAGTTAGCACCATCGTAGCTGCAAAGAACATATATTCTTGCAACAACAAAGCCAGTCCACCAAGGAATAATGACAAAGTAATTCCGAGCACGGAACCGCTTTATTTCACGTTTATCAATGACACGATAGTCCTACTTAACACCCTACCTACAATTCAAAACACGGAAAAAGATAGAGCACATCTTCCAGAAATACAAAATGGAGGAAAACAAAATATCGGTTCTTTGACAGAAACTCCTATAAACTGAAATATATTACATACTGAAATCATTAAAATTATTTATTTAATCATCCACACGTATCTACTATTATAATTCCGGATATAAATATGCCTATATTAATGTATTCCACTATTAAATTAGCAGCAATTCACACATTATTGATATTGTTTTTTTTGTTGGCTTCACTCAGTTATTTGAAACTGTTCATCGCTAGCTGATATCCAATCGACAGATTTACTATGCTGTGACAAAATGAACAATATCTTCAGAAATTAGGACAAATATCCAAATGGCACATATCTATATGAAGAAAAACGAAATTTAACTAGCCTCCAAAAAGACAGTGATATGGGGAAGCTGGAACTACTACACAATACAAATAAGCTAACACAACTACGTGCTTCACTAAACAGAACAATGTTCGAATGTTGAATAGTTATTCTCACCTACAGTGCTTTCTTTTGACTATTTGAAATCAGATAAATCATTCCAACTTGTGATAACTGATGAAAGAGATAATAGAAAATTTATAAATATATGGCAGCATTAAATAAATGGACGTGACAGCATCTGCACTCGTGCAATTTCAGCTAATGCCTTCTGTATCTTTTTTATCAATTCTTCGCCATCGATAACTGCTTGTTCAAGTTCACGCGCTGCCTAGAATTGATTGCCATAAATTGGTGTTTATGGCAAACAAAGATGAAAAAATCTGTCTAACGACTTATTACAAACGGATGCAAAAGAGTGGAAAAGAAACCTAAATCAGTATAATTCGCAGTGCAAAACCATTTTTCCTAAACCAATTCAGCAGACATTTTTTTTTTTTTTTCATTTCCAGCTCATTAGTTGTAAGATACACAAAAAAGCACTGATGAGCCGAACAATCTACATCCGGAGATTAGAAAAACTTACCCTATGCCTATGTTCGTCCATGCTCAATAAGGATGAATCAATTTCTGAATTACTTGCTGCTGGTTCATCTATTGGCAAAGAATCAATCAAGATCTCGATATCTTTAGCTGTATGAGCAATTGTTGCAGCGAAAAGACCACAGTTCTCTTCGTCCTCTAATGCCTGGATAAAATCGTAAAAGACACTTGTAAAAAGTGAGAGAGAACTACTGCTAAAAGTTCAATGAGATCCAGTGGGATGGATTGAATTAAAAATCTTGGTAGCGAATTTCGAAGCGTTAAACGCACAGATCTAGTGCCTTTAATGCAACACGATAGCGAATGGGATGAAATATATACAACTTATAATAAATTTTAATACGAAAAAAAAAAATACTTTTGATGTCCCATTAAAATCACATGATGGTGCTGTAAGTCGTAAAACTCCAATTGAGTTGCACATCAAATTAGCCAGCTCATTAACCAAATCTTGCAGTTGAGTTAAGCGATCAGCCATAGCTAGAATCCTGACTTCTGCTAAAAACCATTATCTTTACAGCGTCGTCACATGTCAATGATAAAGATGTGAGCGGTGGACAATAAGGAAATAAGTGATGCGAAAAATCCTGCAGGTATATTTCTTGGCATTCCTCGAAAAACAGAAACAAAACAGAGACACGAAAAATTTATTGTTCAAGTTTCCAATTTAATTGTGTAACAACAATATCATCATGATTACTAATAATATTTCTAAAACTTGGGCAATATTTACAAGGTATCGCAAAGTGTGCATATGTATGCACACAAAAATTAAACATGGAGGTTTCAATGGAAAACAAAAATATACTGTTTTACAAAATCATATCCAATCTATAAATTTAATCCGTAGACAACAAAATATTTACTAGAATTTCTAATATTGCATAGTACATCAAAACAGACTAATATTTTGAGAAATAAAATGTGAAATCAAACAGAAACACAATAAGATAATTAAAAAAGTATTTAAGAACTAGTCAATATTTATATTTCGTTGAATAATCTTTAGGAGACACAACAAGACCACGACCTTTACGAGCACCTCTGTACACCGTTTCTAAAATATCAATCAATTCTTGTCCATCAGTGATAGGCCAGTTGATTTTGTTGTTATTACCAGTGCCTAAACCAATGGTTTCTGATTAAAATAAAAACAAATTCATCAAAAACCACTCATGTTTCCAAAAGAATTTGATAAAATCATTGTTTTTGGAGAAACCAAAAGACATGAACTGTTCTCTTGTTTTAGAAATATCTAATCAACCTACATATAGTTAATTTGCTAAGTATATAAAAATACATTAAAAATACTAAAGTTAAACATAAGTCACGTGCTGGCAGTTAAAACATTAATGATAGTATGACATTCCTAACTGAAAATCGACATTTACGATTAAGCCAACCTAAATCAACCATAATGTGTTTGTTGCGGAAAAAGAACATCACAGTACATGGATCGTACAATTCATACATTTTGTTGAAATCAGGTACCTCTGTCGTATCTACTAAATATATTACAGCAAAATTTTTCACTTTGTTCGCAATTTTATATAAAGTCTGCAAATAAACATTTAATGTAAAAATTTGCTTCCTTAAAAATGGAAATGATAACATCGCAGTACTTTCAATTTCTCGTCCGGCATTATGGACTTACATGAAGCTGAGCATGTTTTTAGAATGGAAATGAATTTAAGCCAACATGAAATTACAAACCTATATATCACTGGTCATGACTTTAAAATATGCACTTAAAGGACAAATTAATGCGCCAAAATTTAATGTGATAAAAGGTATGAAAAGAAGTAAAAGTTGAAGTAAAGAAGTAAAAACCTCATCCATTCGCATACAACTTGGATCCCAATCATGACCGAATCGAATAAGTACGACACGATCCTCCTCAGCCAGAATTGCCTGGTCCACTTGCCATCCATTGCTCAAATGAGGTAACATATACGACATTCTGATCTCGTGTTATGATAAGTGCCTGCCTCGAAATGATTATCACAAGAATTTCAAAAAGTGTCTGAAAGCAAAATTTTCATCAAATGACCAGACTTCAGCAAATAACCATCTCCAGCTTTTGTAGAAAACATTAAAACCGTCCTAATCAGTAAAAGCACCTTTTATCATATCTTAAAACCTCATAACCATTCTTTAACTATGAGTTTCGCGAAAACTCTCACGGCCGAGCCATATTTTGTTGTAACGTATGAATCATTTGGAATAAAAGCAATTCTGGAAATCGATTGTTTCTGTGAATCTCTATTGACTTGATACTTCTGAAGCTTTTGATAACTTCTCTCTTGAAGGGAAACTTGTATGAATTTACAAACTTAAGAGTTTTACCGATAACATCTGGGAATCGGGTTCATTGATTTATCAATGAATCTTCACAAGAGTTGTTTTTTGAAACGAAAGTCCTTACAAGGAAGAAAGTTATTTTTACTACAATGGAACTTATTCATATCCCAGATAATAATAAGCTAAGCGATGCGGTTTATCTCTAACAACTTCTGATCCTCGCAATTGGCTGTGCCAAAGTACCTGTTGTACTTAATGGCTCTCTACAAGTGAGAAAAATAGAAATGACTTGATGTTTAAGTAAAATGAAATTCTTTGGTTCTAAAAGTAGAATCCGCAAACCCTCCGTGCACTGTGATATGTAACTGCTATACTTTTCGAAGTTTAGATGTCTCTTTTTTGATGATTATGTTGCTTACAGAAATTAAATTAGTTTCTGCAATTAAATTTGTTCACTTATGAAGCAAATTGGAATTGTTTTCTTATAACACTCTGCTTTTGGTCATTCATGTTATGATTATTTACCAAATTTTTTCACATCAGTTAATAAAGATTCTTTCAGGTAGTGCATGGTAACGACTTGAAGATTTTCTTCTTACTGATCGCGAATTCCTTACTTTCTTATCACCGAAATATACCTGTAATAAAGTATGGTTGATACAAGTACCACTGAAGGTACTAATAATATTATATAGTGATTTTTCTGGTCTAGAAATCATTTAGAGATTTAAAAACGAAATAAGAGAAAGGGAAACTGCTAAACAAGAACTCGGGGATGTGTTAGTGGCATTGATTTAATTCGTTTTTATTATTTGAAAAGGTTTTTGATTCCCTGAACAATTTGAGTTTACTATTTTTCCAATCGCGTTAAGATGCAAATTAAGAATTTCAGGTGGAAAGATATCATCTCGATATTATATTGTGAGACCCGAAGAAGTTATTTCATGGGATGAAAGGCTGTCGAAGTTACATGGTTTGACATATGACCAGCTCTTACAATTGATTTCCCCGAACGAAATGGCTGTTGAATTTGCTGCACGATATAGCTTAATTTCAAATTCAATGAAGTGTAAGCGTTGTGAACAAATGATGCTTCTGTGGAGCAGGAATGGACTTGATGGTTTGCAGGTTAGAAAGGAAGTAAAATTGCGCTAGTTCAAAATTGCACTTTTTTAAACATCTAGCAGTCTTTCTATCTTAGCGCGTTTTCAATTTTGGACTTATTCACTTATTCAATTCTAGAAGTTGTTTCAATGAATGTATTGTAATATCGCAGGAAAACAAACAATGCTGCTACTGTATATCCTATCGAGTAGCTTAATCCTTCATTTAATCATTGCTCTAAATTGTTCATCACTAAAATCTACAGTCTACAATTGCTTACAAGTTACTTTACAATTACGTGAAAGTACTATATTATATAAAAATTGCTTAAGAATGTGAGTTTAATGATAACGTAGCAGATAGATAATAGGATGTGATTTTTTCTCGAAAAAAAAAAAAAGTTTTCGTGAATAGTTCTAGCTTTTTGCCATATTTCATTTTTTTTTTTTTTTTGCATGAGACATAAGAATGCTATTGAAGTTCCATATCTCATTTCTTAAGCAACTGATCATAATTTTTTTAACCCTATTAAGAAATAGCTTGTGTTTTGTAAGACTCCATTTTCATATCTATTTCCAATTATTTTTCACATCCTCAGTTCAGTTTTAATATAAAATTAAGATTGTGATAGTGACTTTTTTTCATTTTCTTACAATTCATTCAGATACATGTCGTAATTTATCAAGTTGCAGTGGCGGTGTATGCATGTGGTTACAAAACAAGAACGAAGAAGTGGCAGAAAACGTAATTATTGTTCATCACTTTCCATCCGACATGGAAGTATATTTCATGGACATCATCTATCAATAGCTGATATTATCGAATTTATGTATTTGTGGGCGCAGAATTATAAATTGCATGAAATTCGTTTGCACACTCATTTCAGCAGTGAAATGTCTGTTGCTTGGGCAGATTATATGCGACAGATCGCTTCCGGTTTTGTTGAAGCAAATCAAACACCAATTGGTGGTCCAGGTGAGATAACTTTTGGTGTCCCAAATGATGATTGACAACTGAAGTATTTTTATGTTTAATTTTCATGTGTATAGATATGGCATTTTAATTGTTAACAAATAAATGCCTTTTAGTCAGACGGAATCTTAATTGGTTACTATGGTAAATTTTGTTTAAGCGGCATTTAATTGTGGGTGTTGTTGAGACAATTGAAATACTTGTATTTTCTTATTGCTAAAATGTTTTAGGTAGTGTGGTGGAAATTGGGCGATTGATTTTGTACAAAACAAGAATTGGTGAACAGCATCCGTATTTAATTGGCATGGTGGAACGAGAAACAGAAAACTGTATAATTATTGCAATTGAAGATTATACGACAGAACGCCTAAAAGAGGAAGTATTACAGTGGATTCTGCGTGATACGATATTAATTTCCGATGAGGGAACATATATCGATGGGCTAAATCAACTAGATTATCCTATTTTTATCACGGAAACTTACGTGGAGAGGTTTGAGTTAGTCAATGGACAAAAGCTTAGTGTTAATAATGTCTTGCTGCAGAATATTTGCAACGAAGCAAAGGCAAAATTTCTTGCAATGAATGGAACTTGTAGGGCACATTTTGAGGGTTATATCAGGGAATTTCTATTTCGTAGAACGTTTCGAAATGGAGATGAATTCGCAGGCATTATTTTATGGGCTCCATTGTTGCATGTTTCTTAGTATCTATTGATTTCGTAGCTTAATCAGATATAAAAAAGGTTTTCTGATGTTTATAAGGAAAAGTATGATATGATCAAAATTGCTAATTTTAAAATAGACGGTAATTTTTTTCTAAGTTATGTGTTTTCCTTCGCAACCTGTTTGGCTAAAATTCCATACTTATTTTCAAATACAGTAAACTTAGTCTTTGAGCCATAGTGTTTCCCTTGATGAAGGTTTACTACCAAACTGGATTTTGTACTTTAGGATGCGTACTTTGTGCTGACTGTATTGTATTTCTTTTCGTTACAATTCATTTTAAGCCATGCTAAATTCATCTTTTTCTAAAGAAATTTAGGTTGGTTTTGTTCTTATGCAGCTCCTGTTGCATTTAACATGCCTGTTTTAAATGCTAGTTTATGAGAAAATCTTTTCTTAAAATGCTATTAATTTTATTGATTTATGCCTTAAAAAAAAAGCGACATGACATTTCCGTTTTAAACCAAGAATTATTTGATGTAGACTTAGACGCCATGGTTTTGATAATTAATTGGTCTGGAAAAACGTATACCGGAATTTCCAGAAAATTAAGTTGCGCTGCTTCTAGGATATATTTAATTATCGCTTTCTCATGCACTTTATCTCACATCCATAATGCAATTTCGTCTATGCGTACCCAGCGATTTGAAATCTGTTAGATGGGAATTTTTCCTGAGTGGTTGCTACCAATCAGAAGTCTTAGCGAATTTAATTTCCGCTTTTCTTCACTTCTGTGAGGTCAATTAATGATATCCAAGCATGTGATCATGAAAAAAAAAAATTGGAACGCGAGCTGCACTTCATATCTAAAACAGTCAGTCCGTGATTCCTCCAGTTTTTTTTTTCGGCACCAAACTACTGACGTGACTTAAAATAATGTCATTGGATGTTTTAATAATTTGAAGTATCAATACCGTCGAATACTTCGAGTATTGTGTACTTGTTATCGTCCTACATACCGCAAATCCAAATCTTGTCAGGGTGAGAGAAGCATCAACTGTTCTATATAACTAGAAGAAATGATATGAACTTGTCATATAGTTCGCTAGGAATAAAAATTTACACAGAATCATGGAAATCCGTTCACTTCATTGCTCAGTAATAAGATATGCTTACTACAAATCAAAACCTAATACACAAAGTCAAAACAATAATAAAACAGAAAGTAAATTACATCGCGTGAATAGTTAACTTTCAGAAAGTGATGCATACAGAGGAAATAACAAATGAAGTAACAATGACATACGAAACATTGTTTGACGAGTCTGTTTGAGTGTCAAAATAATGTTCTGTATTAGATGCAAATGTATCCGATACCTTATCTTAGCTCAACAAAACATGCACGTATAAACCAGTTGCATTCATGAAAAAACGGCACTATACGATAACATTACTCACAAATACAGCCGGTTAAACTAATCCTTGCTAAATAAATTATATTTCCAAAAATATATAATATCAGCAGTACGATCCATTTCTTACAAAGTTTGTGTAAATTTTAAGGGATGGATGTGCTGCAGAGAAAGAAACACTCAAAAAATAAAGCACAGTAAACTGCGAGGAAGTCACCGTCCTTACAAATCAATGTAAAACAACGACTGCAATCTAGAACGAGGTATTTTCCGTGTTAATCTTAAACTACAGTTCAGTTTTCTTCGGTTTCTCTTCATCCAAATCAACATCTGAAACATCGATATCTTCCTCAAGAGGCAGCTCGCCATCCTTACCATTCCATGGTTCTACATTCATGATCTTCGGGAATTCTGCATTTTTCACTGGTGCTGTTTGACCTTTACCATAAGAAAGATCCCTTAAAAATTCTTGAATCCCAGAGACACCAAAGGAACCCTGAAAATCACACATGCTTCAATTCTAATTCAACATAGACTTGCTCTGGCTTTCACATAACGTCAAAAACTCTCTGCCAATATACTTTTCAAAATAACCTTGCTACAGATGCAGTGAACCAAGAAATTATAACTCATGACAGATTACTGTAACCAAAGACAAACTTTTAACATCGAAAATTTCATTTTACGATAGTTCAGCGCTGCCAAAGCCGGATAACCGAAACCGCCCATGCCAAATGCTTCCTCCAATTCAGTTTGCTTACCTGCATCAGTCCATACCCAACCCCATACATTTCGTTTGAATTTTTTTGCCGATTCTTTCAAGACCTAAAGTAAAATAAGCAAATTTGTAGCTTAAAAACAAGGAACACACTTTGTTTTAATTTCTAAAATATTCTCTACATGAAAAAACAGTACTTCTAAATAATTTTTTCGGCAGCTGCTTTGGCAATCAAGAATATGCGGCAGTACAGCAATTATACAAAGCTGCTTTTCTCTGCAAGCGTTGTCGACAACTTCTTGTGAAACTGCTTCCACAACTTCCGGTTCCGGCATATTTTCAGCAACCTGGAAAATAAAGAAAATCATGTTATCGATTGTTTTCTTTCACTGGTCGAGTTGCCACATTTCGTCACAATCTTTACCTAAATTTTAAAGCGTACATAAATTTACAGACTATGCATTCCAAATGTCGTGAAAGCAAAGCTTTTACTTTATTAAGTGCATATTGAACAATATCGTCACTGGTTCGTCCACCGACGTAATCTTCAGCATCACTAGCACTTGAACCTGGTGCGAAATATTTTATGGTTGGGAAACCTTTGATACCGAAATGTGATGCCATTGCCTGATGTACTGTTGCATCCAAAGCACCAACCTGAATGTGTTGGTTTCTTGAAAAGTACTCATATAAAACAATACTTAATAAAACTGAAAGGATAGCTTTTTGAATGAAAAAATAACTACAAAAAAGTGAAATAAAGCAAATAGTATTCGTAAGAAATTGTCAAAAACAGAAACATTTTATACCTTTACTTTACCAGCTAATTCCGAAGCAGCCATTTCCCAATGTGGTTTTAAAGCTTTACAATGACCGCACCAAGGTGCAAAGAATTCCACAAGCCAAATATCTTTACTATGAAGCACCATCTCCTCAAAGTTGCTATCGGTCAATTCAATGACATATTTACCGCTGCTTTTCTTATCATTAGCACCTTTCGACTGGCTTGAACTGCTAATACCCAGTTTCGCATTTACTGTTTTTCGAAGCTCATTTATTAGCGAATCTGTCATCGCCTGAGCCGTCCGAGGACCTTCAATAACTTTATTCCTATGATTTTTAAAAGGTTTAATTCCACAGGTCTCAAAGTTTCAACAAAAACTGAACGAAAAAATAAAGAAAATTATCTATATTAGGAGCATGAACTCTGTTAAACTAAAAAGTAATACAGAAGTATAAGAAAACTAGCCTTGGTAATCAAGTGGAACCTTTTTATTAGCACCAAATATTTTAATTGTAGGAAAGCCCTGTATATTATATTGTGCACCCACTGACTGATGTTGTGTCATGTCCACCGCTCCAACTTTGAAAATACCTTTCAAGGCATTTGCCAGCTTCATATATTCCGGAACTAATTTCTGGCAGTGACCACACCTGTAAGAAACTATATTTTAAGCTACCCTCAAAGATAAAGCATATGAGAAATGTGCCAAAATGGTGTAACAACAGCTAGCAACTTACCATGGTGCAAAAAATTCAACAATCCATATTTCATCACTTTTCAACACTTTATTGTTGAAATTTGACTCTGTTAATTGGATTACATTACGATTACCATCATAGAGTGCATGCGACAGTCCAACCAAAACTATAAATTCAGTTATGAATGGAAAAAACTATTAACAAGTGAAAAATAACCTTATCGTAATTCATCAATGTTCTTATGAATGGTGCTATGACATCAAAAGCGCTAAACATCAATTAGCATTTCTCAATAATTTGATTATTGAGATAAGCCCGATCCTAAATAAAAGAAGTTGGAGGTGGAATAAGCAGATAAATAAGTAATATTCTAGACTTTTAGTACATCAGGACTGACTTTAACTGAAAATTTCACTAGTAGCTGAATCAAATATCACAAAATTAATACAGTACCAAGTGAACAATTATATTGTAGAATACATAAAATATTATATTTTTCTCTCTTTTCCATCTTTTTACTTAATATTAATCAATTTCTCTAACTTTCTAATTTCTTAAAGAAAATATTGTGCTTCTGACAAATTAACCCGAAAATGATTGACCCAAGAGAAGGAAAACACAATTCAGGATGAATAAGGGGTAAAAATAATTCACATGAACATAATGTATATGCCCTCTTAATCTTATCAGTCGTAGTGTATAATAAGTAAACATCTGATAACACGGAAAACTTACTTGTTAACAGAAATGACTTCATTGTAGTTAAATAGAGCTACTTTGATTGCTTCCTCCTTTTTTTTTCACGAGACTATGTGGATAGTTCGACTTGCTGTCGTACTTCTGAAGTGGTTCAAATGTGACGTCACACTAACTGTTCGGCTGAGTCTCGCAGCGAACTGGTTTTCAAATTTTACAGTTGCTAGAAATTATATGAAAAGCAAATCATAGGTCAGTTCTTGTCAACTTCTTTTTAGATTGCGTTAGGAGAGAAAAGAACAGAGGAGACATAAACAGAAGGTCCTAGCTGACGAAACTAGAAGACACAGCTACTTGATATACAGATTTCAGGCTCGCCCCACGGATTACCGAATAAACCACCATTACAACACTATCACTTAGAGGTGCGTATGTATCCGCAAGTCTTTCTTATCTAGCAGGAGCTCACGGCAGGGTAAAGGTCACGCGACACATAATTTGACCATAGTTACTTTTAGGTCTGGCAAGTCAGTGCCAGTCATAAGTTAGTGTGATGGGATTATAGTTTCAGAATGAGCTATCTGAGTGACTATTAGCACGCTGAAAGTGGGGCGGGATAACGTTTCGAATTTCGAATTTATACGCGTTTGTGAGGAGTGAACGTTGGTATTAGGAAGAACAAATATCTTATGTTGTTTGCAGTTCCGAGAAAATGCATTCTCTGTCAAGTTGTCTGTAAAGCTACAGCCAAATTTCTCATATTTAGCTCACAACTGAATTATCTAACCAGTGGGGCGATTCTTCATTTTATCTATTGAAAACAGTGTGATATTTTGTGCAATTCTTCGCCCTGTTTGAAAATAAGATTTTGGCTACATATAAATGTTTACATTTGCTCCTTTGACTGTTTCTTCATTAGATTTTGTCGATATATTCAGAGTGAGATACCATTTTGATTCACTACGTTAATATTATTCAATGACCAGTGTATTGCATGAGGAGAAGACGCCGCTGTACCACTAAAAGAGCGTTTTTTATGTCGTTCTAAAGCGCTTCTCTTGCTGATGTTTATTTGTTGCTCGATCGCAGTTTATTTGGAAAGCAGATTATTGGTGAAAATGATAACGGATAATCAATATATGGATGCTGTCCAAAAATTTTTCAATGGGAAACTAAAGCAATTCAAAGAATCAGGTGGTTGGGATGTAGTCAGTGAAAAAGCACGACGTTGTACTTATAACGTAAGTTATCTTAATTTCTAAATCGAAGGTGAAGAATTCACGCTTTAATTTCACCGATTTATTCTCAAATATTTGATGGTTGTAGCTTTTTCTGTCATCTAGTTTATAGATGATGGTGAATTGGTTATACCGTTAATTATTAATATGACTAGATTTTATGTACGAAAATTTTCCAGCGTTACTTGGAAGCTGGAACTGAGGATTGTGAAAACACTGCGAGACTGATCGAAAGTTTGATGGTCACACTGAAGACAATGAAATGTGAAATGCAAGCTGAAGTGGAGCGTTTAGAAGCTAGACAGTTTGAGCGCATTAGTTTTACAAAAATGGTCGAAATTATTGATAGTGCTACGAAGAAAACAGAGAGTAGAGATTATATTACAGAATACAATTTGGATTTGAATTTCTTTTTTGACATAGATAAAGGCCTATATTTTTCTATGACATATAATCAAGTTTTTCATTCGAATCAGTGGTATCTCCAGATATCTCTGAGAACTGCACAAATAATATGAATATGGTTGACAAGCTTGTCGAGAGAGTAGATCCAGTTATTCCTCTTCCATCCATCTCTATTGTTAACTTGTAAGTTTCGCTTCCGTTTCTTTTTTCCATTACGCACTGTTAATGAAGAATACCGACAATCCTAGTGTTCATTTCTTTGATAAAAAAATGAAACATGAGTCTTTCATCATTTGACATGTGTGTAGTTGCTTCTTTTGCAGGGAAGCAACAACTTCAGGGCTACAATTAATAGGGAGCACTTCGAGAAGTGATCAGAGCAGTGCTTGCAAACAAAGTATCTTTTGGAAATCATTTTAATCTTCGTCCTTTTACGTAGAAAAGTAAGTAGTACAGTGCAAATGTTGCATCTTCTAAGGATTCGAAAAAATCTTACGGTGTTTTTTGTTTCATACTTCCAAGAGTATTATGAAAGTTTGATTTCCGCTGTATTATGAATTTCAGTTCAAGGGAAATCAACTAGGACTCTTGTTGAGAAACTGTATAGGCCACTGGCATCCCTAACAGGCTCATTTACGGTAGATGAAGATGAAGATACAGTAACGTTTTTGGAGCCATTGCGAGTTCTGACATTCCAAGATACAACAATGGACGATACTGTAAGGGGTAAAGACGACCTGGATCAAATAACAAGCGTATGTTTCAGATTTATTGAAAATGCATGCAAAAGATGGCATTTTGGCCACTTTTCAAAAGATCGTTGAGTTCTTCAGAGTTAAGATGTATCTCTGATTTAAATCTCAGCTTCATTTGTAACTGTTCGTGGTTTTGAGTTCTTACAATTGTCACGACCAATTGCTGTAATCGTCCCACATATCTAGATTTATTACGATCTCGCCTTATTATCGATTATTCTGTTGAAACTGTTGAAGTTATACATGTCTTAAATAATTAGAATTGTAATGGTAATTAAAAAAGAATTTTGTCTACCAAATTTGGCAGTCGACTCATTATCACACAACCGATGCATAAATGCTTTATTCTGAATAAATTGCACTCTATTCTAGAATTATATCGTCAGTTTCTTTAGAGTTTAAAGGAAGAAACTGTGGGACCAATACGCATATCAGAACCTCCTGTATTGAAGTCCGAACTTGCTAAACAATGGATTCGTGAAGTTGCAAAGAAAACGTTCTAGAAGCTCAGTATAATGTGTCGTTTTTTTTTTTTTTTGTTTTTGTTTACCTGAAACAAGTGTTATGTTGGATTGATTTGAAATGTATTCCCCACATCCACATTTCACAGCGAAATTTGTCATACCGTCGAATTTGAGTGTCAAACAAGTTTTAATTTGGAGTGTCCCGAAACTTGTTGCACTGTTTAAGTGTAGATACCAAACAGGTTTTAGCTCGAAAGTATTTAGTAGTCTTTGTAACTTTAGTCTAACATAACTTCAAACATTCGCTGTTTTACTTAGTGCGGATATGTTATGTCAATGATGGAGTTACTATCAAAATGATCACTTTTACTAGGAACAATGTTTCGACAGCCATGCAGTACGCCTCCTTGTATTTCCTTTCAAATTTATATAATGAGCAAATTAATGGTGTTTTCTAAGAGCTATGAAGAACAGCTTTCGGGCACTTGTTATGAGTGAAAGTGATTATGGGAAGCATTAATTCCTGAGAGAGTTTACTTACCATGTGAGAATTGTGTCATGCTACTAGGGACTCGGACAGCTAAAAGATACAAAATTAGCAGAACGACTAACAGCAAATTTAGTGAAGTGTAAAAGATAACACCAAGGCACATGATTTACTAAAGTCGCACACCATAAAAAAGCGAACTGCAGTTGAAGAATTCCTTTATTACACTCAATTCACGAATCACTATTTTTTAATGTTAACAGATATTTGGTAAAATCACAGTTAAATAAATAAATTAAGGACAGTCCTATATATATGAAATTTAGATATGTCCGGACCAACTTTACTTAGTAGTAGCTCTGCTATTTTACCACTAACGTGAGAAGAAATTCTGGAATGACGTGACAAATATGTCCTGGGGTGCTGGAAGATGAATGTATGGAAATATAAACTATTTCCAGTTATTGTGTCCATCAACACAAGCAGTCGACAGTGTGTATACTTTTTTACTTAAAACAAAGTCGAAATAACTAATTGATTATGAAGATTCTTAATTTTAACCTTCCTCTGCACTTCGTTTATTAGTTCACTAAAGAACTCCTTCAGCTCTCAATTTGTTGTAAATTAAATTCAGGCGTTTCCCTTCAAATCCATGAGCACAAATTAGGGTTTTTGCTTCTTTCATGCCAATTTTTGCTTTCCAGAAGCGCATATTTTTATTATGCTTGACGGTCAGCTTCAATGATTTCGCCAATATACCAGCATAGATATCGTCATACGAATAAAGTTTCGTATGTTGTATCGCATAATACATTTCGCGAATGGTTTGTAATGATAGCAATACTGCGCCGGCAGATATATAGGGTGGATAACGGTTGAAGGGATATGTTGCAATTGATACCTGCGAATTAATGATTACATTAAGCAAAAAATAGGAAAACAGAACTCCTAATAGTTTTTAGCTGGTAGCTTCACGCTTTGTGTTAATGAATTTCTGAATATTGTTTTCATTTTAAAATTAACTGAAGTCAGCGATTAGCCGACTGCACAATAATTATAGTATTATACTATATCATTCGGATAACAGATTGCTATCGCAGGTTTGAGCTGTTAAGGAATTGACTTAGTTCTTTACGAAAGTTTCAGCTCCCTAAATCGATGTGTTCTGAATTTTGTTATTAGCATAAGTCCGCTGTGAAATCCTCAGCCTTTACCTGATTTTTCATTTTGCATTATCATTTCTGGCATCCACTATCACTATCCCAATAAGAAATTTAAACCGCTATATAGTCCCATTTCACTTCAGTCTAAATGTCTAAATTATTGTCAAGAGAAAGCGTATCCAGCTTTTCAAAACACATATTCATCCCTACATAAGATAAATAAGAAAAAACCGCAGTATCTTTCATTTCCTTTATTTTCGGCTATTGTTTTATTTTCCATAAGTTATTTGATCCAGTGGTCATTTGCAGCATTCTTCCATCCGCAGCAAACAAAGGATACAATCAATTGCTTCTTTAGCAAATCTCGGTCATACCAAATACCCGCCAAACATTAAGAATTGAATAGTCAACGTCAAGTACTTTTTCAGCTAGTATCGCACTTTTGAGTAGCTTTAAAATGCTTTGAAAATATGACAGTCGGTTCATCTAAGTTTAATATCTTTAATATCTATGTTTGTGTTTCACTTAAAGTTAGGGCAAATTTTCACTACAAATCCAAGATAAAAAGAATTTCCCATATAAATCCCACTGGTAAATTAATTGTTACTATTATTAACCGAAGTTTGAACAATTTACCCGATGTTTATGAAATCTGGTCCTAAATGGTCGCGTATCAAATCTCCAACCCATATACAGCCGATCATATACATTATATTTTTTCACTTCTGCTACTAGGTTTTGCACCAAGACCAAATAATCATCATCAACAAAAAATGCATAGGGAACAGTATAATTATGATGACAATAACTGAATGAAAACTGCACTGCTGATAAAAACTGAAAAGGAACCAAAATATCAGAATGGAAACGATTGCTTCTATTTTGAATGCAATCCAAACAGCTTCTGGTTTAATTTCTAAACTCAAAACGTTTCTAGTATAACTTTTAAAATTTCCCTCCTTCCCACTTTTTCTTGTTCATATGTCACAGTAACATCTCCATTACGGTAGTCTACACAAACTAAATGAACTATATAGGACAAGTAATCATCGAAAAAAATTCACAAAACTCAAGTCCTACTAAGTCTTTTTGTCCTTCAAAAACTCCCAGGCGAAATAAAAAACTATCTCACTAGGCCACATAAATTTTACCATTGTTTCGTATAAGCTTTAAACTATAGGAATATGTTTCATTTACTGACAATGTGGCAAGACATCCTAGCACTATTTATTCAATTCATCCTTTTTTATCAAAACAAGATTTAATTTTCTTCTGATTGAAAATTAAGCTGGCTCAAAACCAAAAAATTAATTTGAGTTTTTCTATCGAAGTTCTATCCCGAATGCCTCAGCTACATGTAAAGAAATTCAAAAATAACGAACCTTCAATGTATTATTTCGATAACTGTCAATGTAATCACCAATCAGTATATCATTATATAAATCAATTTCTTTTTGCAGTCGTTTATTTTCCTGATTAAAAGGTTCTCGGCCAATCACAAATATTGTTTTCACCGTGAAATCAGAATGATTGAACACTGAACCCCATGTGACACGTATTGCTTGCCGTTTCTGAGACCAGAAATATTTCATTTAATTAATGCTTCATAAAACACCAAGGAGTTCGTAACTTCGTTTTTCCTTTCAACTCCAAACATCAGCGTTTGGGATTTAAAGAATGAATTTTGACATCTTCATGCAAGCATGAAGCTAGGTTAGAAGTTCTATTTTGTTATTTAGTAAAACAATTATCTGAAAAAAAAAAAGACGAGGATATTTGATATCATGAAAGAGTCATAAGATCGGTTTTTGAAATGGGTGTTAGCAGCATTGAAGTTATTCTCGGAAAAAGTTTTATTGAAAACTTACTACAAAATGTAACGGTGAAGATTTCACAATAATTAATAAAAATTTATTCATTTCCATGTTGATCTCGCATGTCGGAATATGAAATGGTTCGAAGTAAGCCCAGTCATTCTCATATAGATAAGATGCTGCTTGACCAGTTAACTCCAGTAGTACCTGAACACATGAATAATAGATTCCAACATTAATTAGTAATATGCACCAATTTACAGAAAAGCAATCTTTTTAATATAAGAATCTGTATTCCATGAATTGGGCAACAATTTCTAAATATGCCTTTAAATACAACAAAAACTGATATATCTTTAATAAGAAGATCCTACGCCTTTGAATTTAGATTTTCTTTAAAATAAAACACAAGAAGGGGAGAGGGGCTTTGTGCAATATATTAATATTATCGTTTTACCTGGCTATATCTTCAAATTTTTGTAATATTTATTTATCCTAGATTATACCAGAAATTTTTGAAAGCTAGAAATTACCTGCTCCCGAACATTTATATATGGCGGCCAATCGAATTTTGAGAAAGATTTCTCGAAAATGTAATCGGTCCAACCTAGTATCCATAAAAAAATAATCGATAGACAAACTGTACTTACTCCATACCTTTTCAGAGTTTTAGAACTTGTTTTTTTGATTAACATTTGAATGACTTCAGTGTTGGCGTCAATATAACCTACAGAAAAGTCGCACAAAATTTAGAATTTGGAGAACTACATTAGGAATATGCATAACAGTTTTTCTATATTTTTTAAACAGTTTAAGTTAATTTCTCTTTTTAAACGCAAAACTGAATGCTAAACTTTCGTGCAAAAATAAACATGAAGAGGCAAATACCACAAAAGTGTTCCCTGTAAACTCTCTTTATGACAAAATATTGTTTCAAAAAAATCAAGATACTTTCTATCCATGCTTATTGCAACCAGTTGTATTCGTCTGTACGTAATACTCTTAATTAACCAGATCTAAAAAAATGAACCATTATTTACAATCACAACAACAAAGATAATAAAAACGACATTCACAGTTCCATAATTAAAATGGGAGTGATTACAAAAGACTGCTTTATGGTTGTAATTAATCTAATGAATTGAAAACATAACCAGCTGGCAGATTAAAATGAATGATCTCTGTGACAAATATCTGGTATACAGATGCGCCTCGAAAAGATTTTCAGTATTTCGGGCACAACCGCTCCAGTAGTATGTTTGTATAATGTTTACATAATCGAACATGAAACAAAATGAAAATGAATTAATGATGATAAACTTTCGCTAGCAAATCCGTAGCAACTTAATCTCCGGAAGATAACCGGTGCCATAATAATATGAAACTGGCGCTTCAACTTAAAATGAATTAAAGTATCAGTTTGTATAGAAAACACGAATATGCACTCCTTGTGAAACCGTTATTTCCGTGAGAAATAGGACCGAAAAACAATTCCCAGCAAAATTTCAGTGCGAATTCAATTCATTCACGCAGATGACGGAAGTTCTTTTTCTTCAAACAGTACTACTTTTACGGATAAATTATTTATTCTAAGATTGCCATTACACCAATTTTTACAGAAAAACATAAATATCAAGACACAAAAAACATATCTACAATATGCGCTACACTTCATACCGACATATTTTTCGCGACTACGAAAAAGTTCTGGTCAACATTTTTTTTCATATTACATCTTTGCTTAGAGATCTGACTGCAACAAATGACTGAAACAAATGCGAGCTGCTCTATACCAGCTTCATGTCTTTCGTCATGTATTTCAAATGGTATATTTCGATCCGATATTATCACTAAGATTAAAAAAGAGAAAAATCTGGTTAATTTTTTACCAAAACAGTGTTGACACATCAGTCAGTAAATTTTTAGTTTTCAGTGCATAAAGACCATTAACTACAGAAATATGGGCAAATAGAAATAAAACTTCACACTTTATGCAAAAGTACTACGACCCAGTGACCCAAGCTCATTTCATAATGTCCTACATGCGGCTGCTTGTAAACGTTACACCAGCTATATAAACAAAAATTATGATGCATGGATGTGGCGGTCGAGTGTGATGTCTTTGTATTTTTTTTTTTTAAATCTTTTACTGGACTAGGTTAAACAGTAGTTACAGTATCAAATAATAAGCCTCAAAGCAAAAGTCCTGGAATTTAGAAACGTTTTATAAAAACTTTGCTCGAATATCAATTAAAAAATACTATAAGAGGCATTATTTGCGGCGAATGGCGTTATATAAATACAAAAACACGCCTTGCTTCCTCGAGAAGTTATGTTTTCATTAATTGGGACAATTTGTTCATTTTTTTTTTTTTTTTTTTTTGAAAAAAACTTAAAAATTAAAAGGAGGAGTTTGGGATTACGGGATATGTCCATTTAAGAGAACTATTGAAGTCAAAAGCTTCCAAATAGGTTCAGTGCTTTCTTCGCTCAGATAACCGGTAGAGCGACAAAAATAACTGTAGCACTAGGCCATGAAAACAAAATTTTGAAGGAAATTCTCACCTGACTTCGTGTTTTTATTTTGCTTATTCTGTGCATTTTTCTCCAGAGTGATATCTATTGCATAATCTATCTACTCACTAGACTTCCAATCGTTTTCGCGGCAATAGTAAAACATATAAGAAGGATCATTTCAGTTACGTGTCTTCTATTTGGCTGTTGACATAATACTGTTAACATACTTCCTTCGTACAGATTTTATAATTCTTCAGATTGAAAGATTTTGATGCTCATATCCAATCTTAACAAGTTAACATTTTTAGTGTCTCATTCATCGGTCACTGATTAAAACGAAAATCACAGAAGCCCAGTTAACTAGATTAACTGGATTCTACAATTAACTAAGCAAGGAAAGATAAAACTGAAAAAACAACGTTTCCAATTAATACTTGATGCAGTAAAAAGTGTAAACATATAATATGAAACATCAGTAGTCAATTCAACATTAAAAATAACTTGATACTATATTCTTCTGACTCTTTTTGGAGCAGTGACTAATTTTTCCAGTTCATTCATTTAATTTTGTCTCTCACTGCCAATTCCGCCAGCCTTGCAATTCTAAAAAATAAACATTTTTAGACTCCAGTAAACACTAAATTCTCCAAATTCAATTCGTGCAATTCAGTTATTAAAAATCTTATATTATCTAATGAAAATTCCCCTTACAACAATTCCCATAAAAGTATCCCCTTCTGACATATGGAAATACTTTTAAAAACTATTCTGTGATTCTTGCAATCATTCAAACTTCCTAATAGGTCACTGATGCCACTGTAATTATATATTATGCGAAATCCAGATTTCCTTGACTCCGATTATAATGCGACAGTCTCTGCTCCTGTTAAAAGAGAAAATGAAGGTGGAAAACAAGGGAAAGGAATACTATGAAAAAAATCTTAAATCTATTAAAGGGAATCTGACCTCGTCCTTACTACAGAATTTAAGAATTAACTAGTCCATTAAAAAATGACAGCAAAGGAATTCTTGATATTGGAATAAACCGAACCATTGTTGAGCACTTCAATAGAAGAAAGAAATTGTGTTCCATCAAAACCGCCCAAAAGATATATTTCATCACCCGAAGCTACTGCAGCTTTGACATTAGCACGTGGTATAGTAAGTGATGGACCTGAACGCCATTCTCCAGTTGGATCATCCAAGATTTCTACTGAATTCAGCGAGTGCGTGCCGTCATGACCGCCAATAACAAATAATGAATCTAGAAAGTGTTTTTTCTTTTTAATTAATATCCAATCCAATGAAACTGCCATTCATGTCACACAGTCAATAATCTAATGCATTCATATCAGAGCAGAACTCAATTTTAACAAAATACAAAGTTTTATTATTGAAGATTTAACCGAAAAATTTTCTAGCAAACCTTTTACCACGGCAACAGCAGATCCACGTCTAGCTGTTTTCAAGGATGCTAGTCTTTGCCATTTTCCCGTCTTCGGAGAATAGGCATCAACTGAGTCCAAACATTTCCAACCATTGCATCCTCCACAAACAATCACGAGGCCATGCCATGAAGTACAGCTAGCCTACCAAAGAACTTTTAAGAAGCGTTACATAGATATAGACAGCAATAAAAAGGTCTACTGTGGACGAGAGAATATTACCTGGAAACGTGCTGTTCGTAGTGGCGTTATTGACGCCCATTCATCTAATTCAGGATTATACCTCTCGCATTCACTCAAAACGATCTGCTCACAGCAACCCCCAATACAATAGATTAAGCCATCCAGTGCAGCACAACATAGAATAAGAAATCTTACACTCATGTCTAAATTCAACAACTTCGCACATATTTTGAAATTAGCAAGAGCATGAAACTTGCGTATTGCTAATAATAAAGCTTAATTAACAATAATATATATTATAAAGTTAAATTAATAAAAGTTGTGAATAGAAGCAGAAGGCAAAAAGCCAAGCCGACTAAGTGATTTAATTCTTGTTATCAAATAGAGGAGTTCCTTTTGCAGCAATAAGGACTTCACTTAATACCAGAACTCAATAAATTCGCTTGAAATATTTTTGATATAATTTTCTAGCCATAAGAATTCTCTTACATGAATGTAAAAAAAAAAAAAAAAAACCATTATGACTGCGTCCGTGATGTAATGATTTCACCAATGACCATTTCTCGATTTCTGAGTCGTAACATTCCACTGTTTTTAAATCCACACTTCCGCTACTACCTTATCAATGAACTGATTGCTAATTTGTTCAAATAAACAATGGCTGTGAAGCACACACAGAACTTTTCCTAATAAAGAAACTATGAAACAAATGCTACGATGAACAGAAGGAAAAATTTAACTAAATGTTCTGTTCAAAAACTGCTTACTCAATATATTAAACTAGAGCAAGAAAGCACCAGCAACAGCGTAAACTTTGCTTCCCACAACAGCTGCATCGAAACGACCTCGGCATTGTGCCATGTCGGCTAAACGACGCCAGTTTTTCTTCAATAAATTATATTCTTCCACTGACTCCAAACACTTGCCACGATCATAACCACCTGTAAACTAAAGATGATATTCTATAACTTTTTGCTACATAAATAGCAAAAATTATAGCACATATATATGAGGAAAAATGCTTACCACAAACAATAATTTTCCCATTGATGAATGCACCTCCAACGGAACATCTCGGACTCTCCATATGTGGTAGTGGGATACGTGAACTGCTTTCTGATGATACCAATCTATAACGAAAAGCTGAAGCATTGCTACAAAAAATAGTCAAGAACATAGCCGTAAAGTTTCTTTAGAAAAATGTTTTCAGTGAAAGCAGAATACTTTTTCTTTGGATTTTCTCTTTATCCCAAAACTAGTATAAATAACCAACACTGAAGTTATTAGAATCATAGGTTCACAATAAAAATTTCAGACCTCACAACTGTTTCCTCTGCGATTTCCTGTTGTTGCACTATTTCAAAAATTGGTGAAGGTTCAACAACTTGTGAAGTCGTACGTGATTTTATAACATTTTCAGCTTCTGAGAGCTGAATACTGAGCGCAACCAAACACCGATGGAATACTGCCAGCGTGATCCAAAAGTCTTCTTGAATTACAGAATGGTTAAAGTAGTAAACACATATTCTAATATCATATAGTATTCCTCGGTATTAGAACAATTCATCCAATGGTTGATTGCTAATTTATACATTAAAACCGGCTTTAAATGTAAGCAACAACTATAGCATGATTATAAATCAAGAAAAACAACCTACATAGTCTTCATGCTTACTTAGAACTTTACCTTACTTTTATTCTTACCAGCTGTTCGATGCACAGCGATCAGTTTGTAAGATTCATCATCGGGTTCAGCGTTTGAGCTCAATGAACTATTACTTTCTGCTGACGATAGTTTTGTGTTGGTTAGACGAGTTGAATTCAGATGCACTTGTGTAGCACCTGTGATATGATGAGCAGGACTTTGGACTTCCAATACATTGCTGAAAAACAATTCTTCAAAGATTGCCCCTGTTAATATTAAATATTCAATATTAATATCTTAAACAATTAGATGAAGCATAAAAGAAGTACTTCTGAAAAATGTCTCGTAAAGCTAGCTACCTTCCACTATAAGTGCGTGGTAAATAGCCACCCGTACGCTTATAATCCTGGATTATGTCAGACGCTCCCACAGAACTCCGGTCATCCATCCCCAAACAATCCTGCAACCTGCAGTCTGTGTCGGTGTACAACATATGTGTCTGCAAATTTATTTAATATTAATTAAAATATTAAACTACTTCTATTTTTCTTTCGTTTAAAGTACCTTTTCCACAAGTTGTTCAATCCATTGTTCGATGCGATCATTAATATGAGGCAGTGACTGGAAGTATTGCACAACGCGCAACGCGATATCTTCGCCACAGCAAAGTTTCTTGATATCATCACTGCTCAAAATTAAACGGACCTGCAAAGCTTTTAAAGTGTTATTTTGTAATCGAAGTTAAATGAACTTAGCTTATCTCCGTAGGTCAGTGGTTCTATTAATACCTTAATAAGAGGCAAATGAGTGAATCCTGGACTTTCATCAACGATTTGTGCAAAATTTTTAGCAATGAAATTATCAACTTGTTCCACAAGTACATCATCATTAATATTAGCTTGACGTCGAATCCCTGAAAATTACTGGAAAACAGTTATTTAACGAAATCACAGTTTTCATGATACGCGGTTCCTTTAAAAAAGAAATATAATAGCTTACCGATGCAATCCATGATATTAAGGTTTTCGATAAGATAGCGAGCGCAAGCTCTGGCAATCGGAGTTACCTGCAGAGCACAGGCAGTTTTATAGAGTTCGCCAACTTTTCTGCTACTTATTTCCAAACTAGAAAATATTTTGTTTAGATCACAACAAATATTGCTAAAATTTGAATATGAATATAATATGGAAATAATTATCAAAATGAGAATTTGCACTAAATCAGCATTGTATTTATTGAATATATAATCGGAAGATTACTGAGAAGAGTATGCATAGTTTACAATAGCTTCGAAACAATCATAATCAGCTTCAGCAAATTCGTAATAAGAAAGTGGCTGTGTTGTTATCGGTAAAGCAAGAGCTGTTGTCAGTGGTGGTGAAGCGGTACCTGCTGTCGACAGCATCGTTGTACTTACACGTTCTGCAATTCTTATTGACAGAAGACTACAACTTACTGGGAAAAATAATAATGCAAAGAAAACCCTAACAACATCTAATCTAATTCTTATAGCAATTTCCACTCCTCGTAATTTTTTCAGTACGGTGGTGTTCTATCCCAAAAAGAAAAAGCCGTTTTGTAAATTATGTGTTCATTGTCAGAAGAAATTACTTGAAGATCGGTCTCCGTTCTCACTTCTGACAAACATATCCATGAGCGCAGGTGAACAAGCTGCCAGAACAATCTGAAAACTTCCTCATAAGTTCAAATATGACAAAGTTTCACCTAAGTATTATAAAACACTTTTTTTGAATTAAACTGGAAGAAAACGTTTAAATGAAAATGAAGAAATGGATAATATGAGACCTTATGAGCAAGAATCTCTTTTTCATGCACAAAAAGGACAACATCACAAAGTTCACGATTTCGTCGAAAGGTACTCAAATGAGAAAGCAATGTATCCTACAAGAAAATAATTATTATGAAGACTTTCTCTTTTATTCACTCTTCTATAAATGCCCTCTGGCACTTTATTTTATTAATGAACTATGCGAGCAGAGCAGAAACAGTCGCATAACTTAAATACGCAGTGAATGCATTTATTTACCTGCATGGAGTTATCAAACATTTTCAACATAATTTCTTCACTGTGAATGACCATCGAGGCGTCTGATTCACTCGCATGCAATGATGTACTTCGTACTGGTATTTTTGGCTTCTAAATGTGATACTTCGGATTGGAAGAATGAAGAAAACTCAACGGAGCTCTAGGACAAACTAAACTCAGATTATTTGGAATAAATAACTGAACAGCGGTTTGTACAAAAGTAAAGTAGTCAACATTAAAGCAACAATTCATACATTTAAGGACATTTATGCTAACATTCACGTGCAGTAAAAAAACTAACCAGAAAAGGACCATCATTACGGTTACTTCCATCATTATTTTTATCATCATCATCATCATCATCGTTATTATCACTATTATCGTTCACATTATTGTTATTTTTGCATAAGAAAGTATGATTATCAATGGTCAGTAGGGAAAAGCGCTTATCATCAATTGTACAGTGACCAAAATTAGTTGGCTGATGAATGTCATCCATTGAATGACGATGATTCCTAAGTTCGTTTGATATCCCCAGTAAACACTAAATGAATGTTTTCATTTAATGATAAAACGATAATGTTAGAAAAAAAAAGACCAAAGAATGACAATCGATAATAATAGGATATTATTCCTTGCAGTCCCAAGTCAATTTCAGGACAGAAATAGTTCGTATGCCAGGTAGATTACAGGAGGAAGAAAATTCTAGCTTAAAGTAATAGATAGCACAAACAATAATAAAGTGGATTTCGCCCTATCTAAAAGCACCAGAAGTGAAGGTTAAATTAAGGATAAGTTAAGGGTTCTAATTATCCACGTACAAACAACTAGTTTGCATCCATTTAAATGCAAAATAAAAAAGTTCAGGAAATGAATGTTCACATTTATTTACTGGTAAAGTAATTATTACGTCAACAGTCGTGGTTTTAAAACAGAAAGTGAAAAAAAGGAAATATGAGAAAAGTAGACTGAAGGAAGGGAAGTGAGTAAGAAATCAATGGTTGGGAGAGAGGGAAGTTTAGTTCTTGCAAGTAACAAAGTATGCAATAAGGCAAGTGAAGGGTATTTATCAATAAGTGCTCGTTGTTACACACCCATCTCAACTTCCCTCACTTTTTAATCAAACACCAAAAGGTTGACGGGAAAGAATGATGTCACTCCAATCAATAACTCTTTACTTTTTCTATTTCTCTTTACGTCAAAATCACTCATTAATTTCACTCAATAATTTCATAATGAAATTCCCCTTCAGAAAGTAATCGTGCAGTGGAAAAGCCTTACGAGAAATGGTATCTATTTCGGAAGCTTCACTAAAACCTGGAAGTTAACACTAAATATGAATTTTTTACCAATACAACTGTAAGAACAGCCACCAAAGTAACTAATATTATGTCGTCCTTTTTATCTACCAAAGCGTCTTCCCGCTCTTTTGATATTTTCTGCACAAGTTTTTTTCTGGTTTTAAGTGATTACACATTGAACACGACCAAGAATATAATCTGTTCTTCTTGCAAAGGCTCACGACCTTGAATTATGATAAAAATCGATAAGGGAAGCAGTAAGCACTTCTGCAAGATCAATTCGTGCCTTTTCAAAAGTAACCCTAAATTTCAAATTTATAGCTGCAGCGTTTCAGGTTTAATGGAAGGGTGGTATCGGAAGGTTGAGAAGGGATCGATCCGTGGTAGGCCAACGAAAGCTGAGGAATAATTTATCGAAAAGGTTGAAGATCAAAGAACAAAAATCAGTTTGAAGTGAATCAATTCTTATCTTTGAGAAGAGAAGAGTGTAGAGGTATCGGTGAAGTAAACTTTTATTCCTATAAGAAATTCTTTGTGTTCAGTAATATGTTTTATTTATGAAAGTTCCTGAAAAACTGGCATGTTTACATATGATTCGAAATGAAATTTATCAGTACTTGTGTGATTAAAAAATGAACATTGCCCAAATTGACTACTGTACTATTATCAACTCAGAAGGAAAGTACCTAAGCATAGAAGAGAATCACTGCGTTTAAACGGCGGAAAGAGAGTGATGACCAGGAAAACCGAAAACTTCAGAAATTGATAGAGACTTAGTAAATTTAAGTGGGAATCAATAATTTACTAAGAACCTCACGGAAGTTTGTGAATCCAGTGAATGATGAGTTGAGTTGAGTCCTTTATTGTTTTCTTGCAAAATACTGAAATAACAAGGTTCAGTTTTGCAGGCTCCAGCAACCTTGTCCCGAATGGACTACATTGAACTTATTCTTGAGCCGATAACACTCAACAGTTAATTTTTTTTTTTTTTTTTAGATAATTAAACCCGATCACAAAAAAAGAAGCTGTTATGATAAAAAAGCAACTCGAAGTTACTGTAGAATCCGCGGAAGAGCTTCCTATCTTTTTATCTGCCCAGGAGACATCATCATTGATGACATTTGAAGAAATGAAATTTTGTTGAGTCCGTAAAAAATGAGAGGCTTGTCCTTTAACAAGATTTACGACACGAGAGAATGAGGAGTTTCTTCATTATCAAATAATAAAAGTGGACAAGTGGAAAGGTGTAGACAATAGTGAGTGGAAGTGTTTTCATTTCAAATAGAAATAAATCTTCCAAAGTTTACGTTAAAAGCATTCCTTTTCTCTAAGAGAATTGTGATCATTTCCAATGTCTTTTTGGTTTGCTTTTCTTTAGAGTGAAAGAATCAAAGAATGATTATAATTCATGGCTCTTACACAGACCAAAAAACTGAAACATTTGCTGAATTGCCCCCGGAGTGCCTAATTCGAATGATGTCGACACTGGTTGCAATGCATTTGGTCGAGATGGTTTTGGTCCGAATCTGGAAAAGAAACTGGATAGTTACTCCAAACAGTCACAATTTGTTATTATCCTTCTCTAAACTTTTCGGTTCACATTTCCTGTACTTTTAAAATGGAACTTTTAGCATTGAAAAGCTGCATTTCTGGCTTAAACATTTGTCTCATGCTGAGAAAATAAAAGTTCTTCCTAATATGAAAAATTGAGCTCGTTAATTTAAATAAATTCACAACATTCAAAACATACCGTCGAAGTTTGAGCCTCGAATTACTAGCACCGTTTTCAGTATTATGTTGCATGCCGATTGTTAGCGAATCTTCATCTCGACTCAACAGAAAAGCTGGTCCATCGGTGGTCGTTGTAGTTTCATAAATTTGTTTTTCATGAGATGGTAAAGCTGCTTGTGCTATTGATAATCCATCCTTAAATGTTGCAATACATCGTTGACAGTATCAGAAAATGCCTTATGTTATCTATCTCGCATTCATTTTTGTTCTTTAGTATCTTTTCGACTAATTTATTTGATCTATCAGCTTTAGAAAGTTCTAACAACGAAGCATATTAGGCATTACTACCAAAAAAGAGATCACTCATCTGTCGAACTTTGTTTTATTTACCAATCATTAAAATTGTTTTCATTTATTAGTAGTTAATATGCTAACAAAATGTTTGCAAATATTAGCAGTAATTGCATATTCCGCATTGAAGTTTCAAAACTTTGTTACTAAAATTTTTGGAGCGACACAACGTTATGCACCTGAATATTTTGCAAGAGATCGGATACACCTCCTAATATTCCCTGTCTGCTTTCATGTTTTGATTTATCAAAATTTTCATCGTAAACATCATAGTAATCAATAGCGACATCTTCTTTTACCATTGAGAAAGTTGTAGATTTAGCGAAGGATGCAGTAGTGTTCGATAAAGATTTTGATGTTGATGATTGTGGTAGTACCTTCTCCGTTACAAATGCTGTCTTCATATTTGCATTTACGATTGCCTGCTGAAATAGTGCCAGCGAACGAGAATGTGATAACTTGTTACCAGTTTAAAAGTAAATTTGACGTGATTTTGGCAACGTCCTTGATGAAATTCTGTTTCTTGACATACTTTTATTCTTTTGATTCTAGCAAAATAGTTTTTATCTTTGTTGAAGAAAAACGATAATAATCCGTTACTTTAAATTGCTGAAAAATCATAAAAATTCCGTACGGTGGAGTTGCTGTCAAAATATCTATTAATCAAGCACATAATTTGCATATTTTTAAGCAAGTAGAATGATCGGTAGACTTTTGTTACCAGCTGTATGAGGTATTCCCTGAGCCTACCTTTGGATTTCGAGCTGTTTTTTGTTCATTTCCGAATTGAGGATTTGGAGTTTTGAAAAATGTTTGTACATGATTCATGCTACCAAAAAATCTTGAATGTATATTATCCAGACGATCATGTTTTATGAACATCGGATCAACTCTCTGAAAATGCTTGAAAATGCTTTACAAATGACCTGTAGTAAGAAAGTTTTAAAATAAAATAGCTTATTGTCTTATTAAATTTATATTAAATAAAAGAATGAATAACAATTACATGTTCTTGCATAATTTATGTTACTTTATCTCCTTGAAGAGAGAAATGAACAACAATTATAATTGTGTTCTCCGATTTTTGTGTAATTTTACTGCAATCTTGTCAAACACAAGGAATTAGACTTTTCATAAAAATGAAAACTAACAGCAGAATCAAAACGGTTACGAGTCCATTGCCATGGAATTTGACGCCGAGTTCGTGAAGAAGCGCTATATTGTATGCTATTCTTACCCTGAACGTCTACGGGACATAGTTGGAGCCACCACCGCAAATCACTGCAAATGAAATAGTAGTGAGAAAGGGTTACAAAACGTTACTAATAAAAAAATTATCCTCAAGCCTGAGGATAATTTTTTTGTTTTCTTTATTTGCATTGTTTATTGTATTTCATTCTTGCTTCACTAACGATTTATCAGTTTTAAGGTTTGTGTTAGAACTTTACGATGTATGCGTGTGCGTTTAGTGTGTGTGTGCGTGTGTGTGTGTGTGTGTGTGTGTGTGTGTGTGTGTGTGTGTGTGTATGTGTATGTGTGTATGTGTATGTGTGTATGTGTATGTGTGTATGTGTATGTGTGTATGTGTATGTGTATGTGTGTATGTGCATATATGTTGGGATTCTAAGCGAAACATGACAAGTTGCTACAGATATTACGTCTTATTGTAGCAGTACGATAATATTTCAAATATGAAAATGAAATGGACTTGTCATCGAGCACTGCTTGCCATTTGCGTATGATTTGTGTACCAGTAAAGAATGTTGACGATCGATGGTGCTCATTGAGAAATTTGGTATTAATGCAGTCATCTTTCCTAATTTTGATTAGTTTACCACTACAGCAAAGCAACTGCCATGCACTGAATTCTTCGAAGCTATCTTCAATGAATCTGACACCCACTGTGTACTGCAAATAATACAAAGTTAATGAAGTCAAAAATGTTTAAAAAGATATGAGATCATTTGAAGTATGCTGTAATTGAAGCAGTGTTACTTATTTGTGCTATGGCGGATACCCAGAATTACAAATTAAGTCAAAGAGATGCAATTGCTTGTTTGGCCTCACTGATTGCACTTTCCATTTATAGCTTATATCATCTCTTCTACTAGACTTGTTTGACGTTCAATTCGACGATTGTGCTAGTAAAAGATATGAGCAAAATTTTGAGTGATAAGTACCAGACGGTAGTGAATTGTCCTTTGTTCCTATCATCATTTCATTGTGATTTTATGAAAAGAGTCTTTATGTTTATGTCCATATGAAGAAGACAAGGGGTCAGCATTTGGGACTGAATGAACTTGGCTGTCCCTCCGAAATTTGTCCTTACTGATCGAAGATCAGTCATAACTTTCTAGCTATCCTTCTGGAAGGTATACAAATCCTACTTTCTAACAATGCCACTGTCTGAAAACACACTATTAACCGTAATACAGCTGTTAGTGAATTAAGTTCTTACTTGATCGCTTCCGCAGCTTAAATATATGTCATCTAAGTGGGATGACGCGCTATCTGATATTCTGCATGTTTCATTCATCTGCTGAAAAAATAAATCAGTTAAAGATATAAATCAAATTATAATTTCGAATATTCGAATTATTACTGATCTCAACGATGTATTATCTGAAAATATTATATTTTAAATCGAATTATTACTTATCTCAACAATATTTGTCTGACAATATTATATTTAAAATCATAAGAACTCTTTCAAACGTGAACGTTAAATTGGAGTGGAAAGAATAAACCGTATGAATATTATCGAATGCTGAACATGCAAATTTGTAATAACGCTCTTTGCCAACAAATGCAGTGTTGAAAGTTGATAGATAAAAGCCATCTGGGCACTGGAAAGTTGTCGATACATAAGGACACACTGTCTCAAACAGCAAGCTGATATAGGCTGCAGTTTGCCAGACGGTTTCTCTGTTACAAATTAAATATTAGATTTTATGATTCTAAAGTTCGTGTGTTTTTGGTAGCAAATAAAAATATCTTTTTGAAATCTGATTTAATAAACTTAAACTGTAAAAATTTCCTGGTATAAAATTATTTTCATCTATAATCTGTCAAATTAAAACAAAGTTACCATCATTCATAAACCGAACCTTTTCATTTTGGTAGAAAAAAAAAAGAAAAAAAGCGACAATTAATGATTCCAAAACATCAAATTTCCAATTCAGCCAGTTTCATTCTGCATGAAAATCAGAAATGCATAAGAACAAAATTCAACCATTTTTAAAAAGATGCTATGAATTTTATTTGATACTTCAGAAAAAGTCAAAATCTGATTGGAAAATTGAGAGAACAGATTTTTGCCGCGGAAAAAGTACGACAATGGCAGTCATAATAACAGCAACAATACGATCAATATTTTCTGATTCCAAGGTACATAGACAAATCAAATGGGACAAGACATGAAAATTTCACCGGCAAATGATGTCCGCTCTAAAGTGATAATGGAAATGATGGCAGTGGTGAATTGTTGAAATGTGACACATTGTAGATTGTCGTTCTCTGTGTAAGTTGTTCTGTGGGATGATAGGTGACATTGACCCATCATCGTTCACGCATTCATTCACGAAACTTTTTGATCCCTTTTTTATCATACAATATGACATAAGAGTTTCAGTCTTCCTCTTCACTTTATTTCATGCAGTCGAAAGCTTTAATGTCCTCAGCCAGACCTCATCTCCTTATAGTACCGAGATTATACATATCGATTAGTTATTTTAGACATATTTCTATCTACTTTCACAATTTTTTGATGACGTATTGTTTTTTATCATAAGTATTTGCATACTGTGATGCTGCACCTTCTTTTCTACAGTGCTGTATTTTTAATCTTCTCATTATTCATGATTTTCTCAATGCAATACGCAAAGATTAGGGAATATTTGGATCAAAAAGGAGTCGTAATTATGTTTGGGATACGATATAGACAGCTCCATCAAAAAAGAAGAATCATCAAAATATTCCATCTACGTATACCGCTTCATCTTTGTTGGGTCAGTTTTATGGTTAATTGGAAGGCTATATAGTAGTGCAGTGGGGAGGGAGTTGCTGTTGTGCTGAGCAACTCAGGTTCGTCTATATGTCGCATTCCAGCTCCGCATTGTGGGCGGTCATAAGCAGTGCGGCGTTCTCTAATAATGCGTAGACAAATGATGAGGGCAAAATCGCAACCGGCTAACAGCACTTAAGGACTGTTTGACGTACTTCAACTTTGCCACATTTATTTGTCAAGTTTATGCTCAATTCATAAGCAGGTAATGACGTTATCACGTGGTAAGCTAGATGAAAAGCAGACTTCAGCGTGAACGATCAAGTGCATTGTCTATCACTCAACAACATTTATATGAGCAGGATATCAGTCATAACGAGTTTTGAAGGCAATTTGAATGTTTCGGCTGTGTTCATCGTTTTTACAATACCATCCTTTGCATCCAGCCGTGTCACATTTCGGTATTCGCCTGCAATTTCTATTCCGGACAATATTTTCAAAATGCAGTTCAAATAAATAGCAAAGTTCAGATCCAATTTATGTCAAAAACATTGTCATAAAAGGTTCCCAAAAAAAAAAAAAAAAAAAAGAGAAAACTCGAAATAACGAAGATTCTAACCAATCCGATGGATTTTGCATTTTCAGCAGTGGGAAAAGTATTAGCTTTCCAATAAAAGAATCTCCCATTGTCTTCAAGTAAAATGTTAAATGCACACTTATTGTATTCTTTGATGAAGAAGACACTGCCGGCTTTCCATGTTTTTTTTTGATCATCAAAAAATTTTCTGAAATGATATTCGAATTTGAGCCGTCAAAAATTTCTACAGAAATTGAAAAAATTCAAAATTTGATTAAGATGAATTAAGATTAGTATGTAAGTGATATATTTTTTCCAATTTTAAACTTTCAACACAAAATGGAATACATAAAAGTAAACATTAAACATTATACCGACAAAATCAGGATAATAATAATAAATATTGCGAATTATTTCTCTCATTTGAACTTTTCTCCCAAGCAGCTCTTCACAAAGAGGAAGTTTACAAAGAATGACAAATTCTAAATCTGTAAAAGCTTTTATTATTGGGAGCTATTATTCCTCTACCTATTATTTGATTCTAATGATATCTTTTCCTGGAATTCATTTCATTTTTATTGCGAAATGCCTTTGACTGATATGATATATAGATACGATAAAAGGTATGATCCACTACCAACCTAAACAGCATTCAATCTGAAATTAAACTTACTGCTGAAATAAATGATATTAATTTTCAAAAACAATCAATTTGCTAACAACACAATTCTCACTGCGCAGTTCCACCAAACTGATAACAATTTGGATTAAGAAAATGAAAGCTCTTCAATTTTCAGCCCATACTGATAAGCAGAAAAGTTTCTTTGAGCAAAATCTTCGTTTCGAAATGAGTTATTTATTATATTAATCATAAAAGCTAAAAGTGTCTATCCTTGAAAGATGAATACGGGGATTTAATCATTAAGGATGGTTAAGGATCTTGGAAACAAGTAATTATGGAGTGATAGAATTTCAGAGCTATTCAGTTGATGTTTTTCATCCTTTCATCAAAGTTTTTTTATGTCATCGATCCTTGGAGTATTAGCAATATAACTGTCTCAAAAATAAATTTCAGACCGATGAGAGTATTGCAGGTTAGTATTGTAGCTAAAGCCCATTATTTCACTGAAAAATGAATGGATAAATTTATTTTTATACTACTTGCTTCATATGCAGTTCCTTTTCTTTGTAGTCGATTACCAACCATATTATGAATGAGAGATGCCCAAAGTTGTCAGCTGAGAAGTTCTCCTTTTCTCCTCTATCGAATATAGTTATTAAGGTAAACATCTTATCTCATTCTCTTCCTCATCCTTACTTTTAATAGGTGAGTTTTTCATGTGATGGAAACGAAAATCTTGTCGATGAGACAAAATGGTTACATGTCGCGGCAGCAATGGCTGTATCAAATGAATGCATCATTTAGCGCCACATTTTAAATCTTTCAGTTGTTTCGGGTTCACTTGGTGGTTGTTGTTGGTTTAAGGTTCAGGAATGAAGTCTTCAGGAGCTCACGGTAATGTTATGGGTGATGCCGGTGTATTAGAGAATGTGGATGAAAGTAAATATTTGGATCAGGTTAGATACATTTTAAAGAATGGCGAAAGAATCGATGATCGAACAGGTGTGGGAACGATCTCAGTGTTTGGAATGCATTCCGTTTATTCGCTTCGAAATGGTAAGAAATTTTTTTTATGCTAAGACCAAGTATGCTATTGTTATGCGAAGGTTTGTATAAGATTTTGTAAGGTTTCCCGTCCTATCATTTATTTTCAGCTAATGGGACTTTGTTTGAAATATTAACTTGTGTAGAGATTTTGTAGGTGTTGTTCCGGTATTGACAACCAAACGAGTCTACTGGAAAGGCGTTGTTGAAGAACTGCTATGGTTCATTCGAGGCGATACAAATGCAAAGCATTTATCTGAGAAAGGTGTCAGGATTTGGGATGCCAATGGATCTCGGCAGTTTCTTGATCAGTGCGGTTTCAGTGATCGATCTGAAGGAGATCTGGGACCTGTTTATGGTTTTCAGGTGAAACTTGGTTTCTGTGCCAATCAAATACTAATTGTTCAGAGATGGCATTCGCTACGCAATAAAATCTTATTCCATCGTATTTAGCTTTCACTATATTATCCTTTGAATTCGTTTTATCAGTTTATTATTTCATTACCATTTTTGATAGCTTTCCAACACTATTGAAGCAGTAATGTAATTTATAGTGGCGACACTGTGGTGCTGAGTATCGAGGCATGGATGCTGACTATACCAACCAAGGTATAGACCAGTTATCTGAAATCATTGATTTGATAAAAAATGAACCGCATAGTCGTCGTATAATACTCAGTGCATGGAATGTTAAAGGTGTTATTTGGTTTATTGTTTTTCTTTGAAAATTCATTTACAGTTTTTCTTTTCTTTTTTTTTTCAATACAAAACGTGCTTTGGATTTGAAGTTTATGGCTTCAGCCGGCTTTAGATTTAAAACTAATGGCTTTGCCACCTTGTCATACGCTCGCTCAATTCGCGGTGCGTAATGGTGAACTTTCGTGTCAGTTATATCAACGTTCCGGCGACATGGTTTGGTTTTGATGCCAGTTCATAATTTTTTTTTTTTTTTTTTGGTTTCTTCAGTCGTTTACGAGACTTTTGATTTTGAGTTTTTATTTGCAGGGTTTGGGAGTACCTTTTAATTTAGCCAGCTATGGACTTCTGACGCATATGATAGCACATGTTTGTGGTCTTAAGGTACAGTCTTTTGTTGTTTTCTTTCGGGCTGATGTTGAAAATCTCTCGAAATTTTCAACGAATTTTTTATTCAGACTGGTCACTTATGTCATGTTTTGGGAGATGCTCATGTGTATGTGAATCATGTCGACGCACTGCAGGAACAGGTGATTGTGACTTTTTTTCTTATGTGTATCTCGTTTGGGCTGAAATTTTCAGTAGCATTTTTTATAGCTCAAACGTCAACCACGACAGTTTCCTACTGTTCGCTTCATTGGAAACATTAAAACAATTGATGACTTCACTTACGAGTCAATTGTTCTTGAAAATTACCAACCGATGCCAGCAATCAAAATGGCAATGGCTGTATGAATCTCTTTCATGTCGCCTTTCAACTTTGTTATTAAAATAATTATTAAGAGAACTGTTTTGAATAAACTAAGTTTTAATCTGCTCATTCTTTTCACTGACTCAATCTTTAATGGTGGATTTTTACTTCCTTAGGCTATTATAAATGCAGGAAAAGTTTTAATTTTTCTTGGTTCACATCATTTCACTTCAAGCCAGACTATAAAAGTTAAGCAACTCAGGTGGAACTTTTGTGTTCTGTCTATCGGAATTAAAGTTGCTAAAAGTTAATGATTGATGCATTCATTCAGAGTTTATTAACTGACATGTAAATCACACTGAAGAACTTTTAAATTTTACAGCTGAGCAGGCTGTCTTGACTTGGAGATATGTGAGAAAATTCAGATTCTTTGCATTTTGGAATAGCAAAAACGATATCTGGACATACCTGTTTCAGTGCTAAACAAAATTTCTCTTTCCATACTTATTTTTTTTTGACCTGAAAAGTCTAAATGCCATTCTTGATTTTCCTGGTGAAGATTTATGATTGGTCAGTGCAGATTTTTCATCCAGTTAGTGGCTTCAGTGCTTTCGGTGGTACTGAAACGTTCTGCACTAATTATCGCACTGCTAATCATGAGTGTTATAAAACTTCGTATTTTACAAATAAATTTTGACAATTTTGTTGGACCTCTATTTTCAAAGTAATTCTTCATGATCTTACTCCTGGTACCTTACATCGAACTAAGTACGAGTTCTTTCTAGGATGGTACACAGTACAGAATCAATTTTGGTGTACCATCGAGACCTGGGATATACCTGTTTTGGAGCAAAGTAGGGTGATAACATCCTGAATCGTCCGTCTCCTAAGGAATGCAAGTTTTAGTTTAGACCTGGAAGATGGTAATCATCACAGCATATTGCTTCGAGACTTATGCGAGATATGCGTAAACTTTTTCATTCTTTTCCATCCTTATATTTTTTGCTTTATTTTATTTTAATCAAGATAAAAATAAAGTAGTTCTGAATTAAAGACCAGTGGTTTCTATATTTATCAAAGTTTGATATAAGGTTGGAATAGTCTGATATAAGGTTGGTAAGTGTATAAATGTACTAATTCATGTAGATTAGATAAGCAGCTACTACAGTAAGATTCGTATCTGCAAATGTTCTTACCAATTGCAAATTTAGATTGAAATAAAAGTGTAAGCTTCTGAAGGGAGGAAAACACAACGATTGATAAAAGAATATTTGAAATTTGATTTTACCAGTTGCTTCATTATTACTGGAGTAGTATGGAGGATAAGAAGATGAGGAAGAAATTCTGCGAATGAGCGAGCTCAAAGTATGTTTTTCCAAATTTTTTTATCCTGCATAGGACAATAAGTTTTCGAATAATCTTTGAAAAATCTTTTTTCAAAGGGTTTGTTCACTTATTGATACTTTTCTCCTCACTTTATGTGATAATGTCTTATAAAATGTGAAAAATCTGAATGTGTTGAAAGAATGTTAAGGAAATATTACGATAAGGGAATATTTGAAATTTTAAGAACTGAAAAAAATGGATGAGAAAGTCAGAAACCAGAAAAGAAAAAAACCGGTGACAAAAATAAAATCGCTGGAATGAGAAAAGAATATGGTGAAAGGATTTATGAAGTGCTCCAAAAAGAGAAGAATGGTGTCAAAGAAAGGTATCATGCAGATAGCTATATATATTTTCTGATTCCACAACTCTGATACTGCCCATTTGCAACAATAATATCGGGTTTTACTCATAGTTCTCTTGAGATCACAATCAATCATGTATAGATATTGCTGCATAACAATTAGTTGATTGGTTGCTTGAAGAGACAAACTGCTAGGCTCACTTCAAAGCTCAATACAGAAAATCAAAATTGCTAACTCATTGGGAAACTTGAGAGTTAATTTTCGTTTTCGTTTGATACATATCTAGTTATACATTAGCTGAATAAAACGTTTCAGCTATGTGTTAATTTACTGCGCTAAGCTAACTTCGTTATAGGAAGGAGTTGGATCTCCTGGAAGAACTGTAGAACATGAAGCTAACGCTATTAGAACAGTATGTGGAGGACATTTGAGATTTGCTTAGATATGTTTGGGATAAAAGGAGAAATTGGAGTAAATGTTACTTTGCTACATTCGACACAACGAAGAGCAACTTCTTGAAGGAGAATGACAGAGTTAGGGAAGTTGCGAGATTTCAGTCCCCGTTACGTTCTCTATCCCTGCTCTACTCCCGAATCCATCGTTCGACCCTTTCTCTTTTCATCTGTCGTGTTCCCAATTTCGATTTCGTGCCAGGTTGCGCATAGCAAAGTACATTTTTGGC